AAGATAGTAACTGTCTTAACTCCATGTCGCGCGTCGATCGTCCCGGTCGCAAGTCTCTTCTACCGGACCCTTTTTTCGGCGGATTTTGCGCGATTTTGCCTTTTTTCTATGGAGCCCGACGGAGAAGGTCGCGCTACCGTCGCTGGAACGTCGCCCCGAAAGTCGCGCTATCCCGGCCGTGCGGATCCGCTGCAAAAGGTATGTCGCTACGTGTGAATGGGGTCTGATGGGAAGGGGGGGCATATTGCGGAACCTGGCCTTGAAGCGGCAGGGAGAGTAAATCCGGCCCTGGCTATGTGTTTAGCTTCAGTTGAGGAAAGTGCAACACTTGTTTGCTTTCGGCTAGACCAACGTATGGTTCCTTCTCAGTAATGGAAGATGTAACCACTTGTGGATTTGCAGTTTGTGCAGTCTCCGGCCCAATCGGCATCCGTATATCCAATTAATTTTGGATTTGACCCTGCTGGCAGTCGTAGATTCATCCCAATTGTTCCTTTTAAGCATTATATTACCCTCTTTACTGCGTTCCAGTCACGCTGACAGGGTTCTGCGCCTTTTCTAGCGAGTATGCCCACTGCTGCCTCTATGTCTGGTTTTGTCACAGTAGCAATGCACTGTATAGTAGCTTTCCGATTGCTCTGCGTTATGTATCATTGTTGTGTAGCAAGTTTTCTGCTTCATTGCCCTTTTGGTAGCCTGGTTCCATAGGTGTTTTTACTTCCTTTGCATCTTGCATGTGGAATTGTTCCAAAGTTTCTGCAATTTTCTGACTTTGGTTGAAAAGATAGCTTCCATCTTCTTCTCTCTCTATTTGAATTCCCAGATAGTGACTGATGTTCCCCAGCTCTTTAATTTCAAAGTTTTGTTTTAGTTTGTGAACTATTTGACTGTAGTTCCCTTCTTGTTCAAAACAGGTTGTAATGTCATCAAAATAAATTAGGATGTATATGCATCTGTCTTCTTGATTCCTGGAATAAAGACAGGGATCTGCTTTGCTTCTTGTGAATCCCTCTTTCATGAGTATTTCATTCACTTTCTCATTCCACATTCTTGCAGATTGTTTGAGTCCGTAGATGCTTTTATGGAGATTACACACAAGGTTGTGTCCTTGCTCAAACCTGGTGGTTTCTCCATGTAGAGATCTTCCTTATTGTCTCCAAATAGGAAAGCAGTTTTACATCTAGGTGTCTCACTTGCATGCCCTTCCCGACTGCGATGCTAAGGAGTGTTCTGATGGTGGAGTGTTTTATGACGGGAGCAAGACTACGTTTCATCGTAGTCTTCTCCAAATTTCTGGGAGTATCCCTTGTCAACTAATCTGGCCTTGTATTTGGGGATATTTTTTTCTGCATCAAGCGTCACCTTAAAAGTCAATTTTCTTCCTATAGTTCCGCGATCGTGGCGAAGCTCCGTGAATGTCCAGGTTTTATTTTGTTGGAGTGATTTTATTACTTTTTCTGCTGCCTGTCGGATTGATTGGCTTTGCGCTTTGGTAATTTTTCTATGTCGTTACGCGACGTTGGTTCGAGTATGCTATTTGTCTTAGTAGTATATGACAGCTGGCAGAGTGGTAATCCCTTTGTTGCTCAAGTGGATCTTCTAATTTCAGGTTGTTCAGCAGAATTTAACATGGAATTTGACTTCTCCATCTTCTCATCAAAGTAAACACTGTAGCTTTTTGTCACTTTTTCAGTCTTTGGGTGGAGGCTTTTATATCCTTTACTCTGTTCACTATAGGCCATCAGAATACCTTCTATGGCTGTGTTCTCCAATTAGGATTGCTTCTGATTTGGATCATAGGCGTAAGCTTTACATCCAAACACTCTAACGTGCCCTAGGCTAGGCTTTGATCCATGCCACATTTCAAATGGGGTGCTTTCACTGGCTTTTGATGATAGTCTGTTGTGTAGGTATGTTCCAGTCATGACTGCTTCTCCCCAGTACTTCTTAGGTAGGTTGGTGTCTGACAGCATGCATCTGGCCATTTCTATAAGAGTGCGATTTTTCCATTCTGCTACACTGTTTTGTTCAGGATTGTATGGTGTGGTGGTCTGGTGTGCTATACCTTGTTTCTTCAAATATGATTCCAATTCCTTACTAATGTATTTCCCTCTGTTGTCAGTGCGTATAATTCCTGGTTTCCATTGGAATTTGTTGCTGGACATGGCTACAAACTCTTGACGTTTTTCTGATGGTTAATTTTTATGCTTCATCGGATAAATTGTTGTGTACCTGGAATAATCATCAATGAAAGTCAGTAGATATCTGTTTGCACCTGAAGTGGGCAGGGCTGGATTAACATAGGGGTGGGTGGATCTCCCGATCCAGGCCTGCCCCTACAAATAGGCCCAACCAAGCCGACCCAAATCACGGCCGGGCCAAGCCGACCCGAGTTGTGGCTGAGGTAGTGCTGCTCCCTGCCTCTACCACCCCTGGTAGTAGCAACACTACATACAGCTGTCAAAGACTTTGCTGCAATTCATTGTAAAAAAAACAGCACACTACTTGTGGTATGCTGTTTTTTTACACTGAACCCACAGGAAACTCTGTGACAGTGACAGCTGTATGTACCGGTGGCTGTGCAGGGATGTACAGACGGCTGTGCAAATGCCTGTCACCGGAGGCCCAGCAATGTAAAATGCACGCTGGGACCCCCAGGGCACCCCCATACCAAACACGGCCATGCTAAAAATACATGGTAATCGCGCAATTTATAACTAGCTTTTGTAGCAAGATGCACATGGAAGGGCTTACAACAATACAAAACACAAAAAGTTCCCAGCACACTTACCAGCTAGCCTGCAACAAAACAAATTGCCCTGTCTAACAGTAAGCGTTAAAAACAGAGGTTTTCGTTACACAAACCTTGACTGTTATTAGCAAGGGTTTTCACTGATAGAAGGCTTCCTTTTAGGTCTGGAATATACAGTACATTTTTCACAAGTATATTATGCTAGTCCCCTGATGGTGTGATGCAGTTCAAGAATCCTTGACCTTCTGTAGTAATACTTTTCCCGTTTGCTAGGAAAACTTTGTCCTTTACACTGAAATCAATTTCTGTGAAGAAGGTCTCATCACTAGTCATGTGGCTTGTTGCACCTGAGTCAATACACCATCCGCATAGTATACTGTATATACTTTGAGTCAATACACCATCCGCGTATATACTTTGTATCTGCCTTAGCTCTTGTAGGTGCCTCTCGCTTTTGCTGCTCGGCTTTCCGGATCGAACAGTCCTTTTTGAGATGACCAGAGATGACCAGTCTTTTTACAGCGAAAACACGCTCTGCTTTCTTTGTTTTGCTTTGCACTGTCATGCACCTTAAGGGCTTTGGCCTTTTCTAGTGTTAATCCCTGGTCAGGTCTGGTTTCTTGAGTGTTTATAAGAGCATGGTATGACTCTGGAAGGCTGCATAGCAGTAATGCCACCACGTGTTTATCTTTAATTTCTTCTCCAATTGCACATAGCTGTTCCATGAATTCCAGTATGGCATTCACATATTCACACATTTCCTGGCCTTTTTCTAGTCTCATCTGATATAGCTTGCGTAGTAGATATAGTTTACTGTTTAGGTTGGAATGCTCATGCAGTTTCTGTAATGCAGTCCACATACCTTTGGCTGTATTTTCTTTTCTTATGTGGATAAGCTGGTCGTCTTCCACTCGCAGACTTATAATTGCTTTTGCTTGCCTGTTCTTCTTGTTCCATTCCTCCGTGTGTCCATTAGTGGATCTGTCTGTACTCGGTACTTGCCACAAGTTGTCTCTATTTAGCAGCATTTAATGCTTGAACTTCTATAGCTGGCAGTTGCTATTGTTGAGCGTTGAACATCTGAACTGCTCACCATCTTTTGGCTGCTTGGATGCAGCACTTGTAAACTTGAAACATTCTGGTTTATGTCTGGGCCCATAACCTGTTGGTTATGTGTTTAGATGAAGCACTGAGATCTTGAGGAATGCTGAATTCAGTTTTACTTGCTTAGAAGAACTTTGCATACATGTATACAAGATTACAGCATCAAACAGGAAAAATATATACCATGCACAAAAGCACCTGCAGGCTGCATAGAAGTCGCCGAGGTCACTTGTACTGAACAAGCGGCGGCTTACCCCGCTGTACATTTAGCCCAAAGCAGGGCTAAATGTAGAAAAAAAAATACCCGGCCGTTGCATGGAACTGCTTTTGCCCTAGGTCCACCAACGCTGCCCTAGAACAAGAAGTGTGTTACTAAAAATAGAGGAAATAAGCTTGAAAAAAGAAAACAAAAAATTAAGCTCTGATGCCCCATGCTGTTCAGTTAATTAAAGGATTACTAAAGGCTGGGTGTTTTTTTTTTACCGTAATACATTCTCTGCATTAAGGTAAAGATCGCCCAGTACCTTTTTGTGTCGTCGTCCCCCCCCCCCCCCCCCCCCCCCC